GAGTCCTATATCTCTGAAGGCCAAGTGTCCAGTTTAGGTAGGAAACAGTCTTTTTAATTTTCAAAATCAAACATCCACTCTTAGGATTTACTCATTTAATGCGGAATATCCTGCAGATAAATGTGCTAACATTTCCAGTTTATATTTAATTTGCAGTATCTCAGTTCACTATAAGTTTCTGAAGACTTCTCATCCCTTTATTAAATTACACCAGAATAAATAAATTAAGAACTTAGATTACTTTCCAAGTTCAAGGTCCTATATGCAGTTATCCTCTGTTGTCTTACATTATTGCTTTTTTATCTATGTTATTTCTTTAACATTGTCTTTCTCATTACCCTGTATCTACACTTGACTCAAGAAAATCTAACCAGAGCTAACTTGTGGGACAGCTTGTGACAATTTGAGGAGTCGAGAAATATATATATATATTTTTAGGGCAGGTGTTCCAGAAGGGAGAAGTACAGAAAAGCCTAGCTGATTCAATCACCTCAAAGACTGAATTTTCTATGTGTCTCTATGCTCTGAGCAACTTTTCTTCCCTTCATGAAGGAGAATTCAACCTTCACATTTTGCTATGGCTTTCATCACATGAGCAAGGAATGATTTTGTGATCTCCTCTCTCTCTCTCCCTCTCAGGCTTTCCAGAACCATTTGCTCTTTCCTTCGGGGGTAAGAAAGCAAGGAGGGTCAAGTCACATTTCCCTTTATCTTCCTTCCTTCAAAGACTGCTGGGGACCAGGAAGGCCAGTTGGGAAATTGGGGTCCGTAGGGGATAAATAAACTCCTTTGCTGGTTTCATTTTGTGAGTTAATAAAGGTTACCAGTGTCCAGGGTTATAAATCCAACTTCTTTCGTAGTCATGAATAAGTGAAAGCAGTCCAGAAGTCCTTCAACGGGGGACTGAATTCACAAACTGTGGTACATCCATACAGTGGAACATGACTCACTAACAGAAGGAACTCCTGATTCATGCAACAACGTGAACGAATCTGAAATGCATTTCACGGTGTGAAAAAGCCAGGCCCAAAAGGCTCTCCAGTCTTTGATTCCATCTGTAAAGGGGAAAGATTTCCATTCTGATTTCCATTCTGAAAAGGGAAAACAACAGGGGTGGAGCACAGGTCAGTTACTGTCAAGGGTGGCAGGTGCCTGGAGGGTTCCATGACAGAAGCAAAGCATGATGTGAGTTTTGCGACAAAGGAAGCATTGAGTGTCATGGCTTTGCTAGTGGATATGTGACTGTCCACCTTTGTCAAAACCCATGGAGCTGCACACCATAAAGTGTGCAGTTAACTAAAGCTCACTCTTCACGGATACGTGTTAACTGGGGAAATCAACCAGGAGGTGAGAGTAACCAAAAAGGACCAGGAACTTTAACAAAGGACCCTTGCTCTGTTATAAATGAATAACATAATCGCACCAGCTCCTTGGGAGAATGAGGTCATTACCTTCCATTCCAAAGAATTCCATTCCTGAGATTTAACAGCTCACTTGTGCAGGAAGAAAAGCAGCTCAGCATGAAGCCACCACTAAGCTGCAGACCCATAAAGTTGGGAAGACCCCTAGAATCATTTCATTCACCTCCTGCTTCCAGGTTTGCACTCTTGTCTCATTCCTAAATGAAATCCATTCCAGAGAAGAATCAGAAAACATTCTCTACAGCGGGATGTGTTATTTTTCACCCCCGGGGTCAGCACACATCTGTATAATGGGAGAACAGTGATGGGGCTAGCCTGGGCAGGGGATTCCATCTCTGCTTTTAGGATGCAACTCTTAGCAAAGCTCAGTACAGCAAGAGATGAATGGGGAGTTTCTGTAATTGAATCCCTGGTGAAATGTTGGGGTTCTGCTCAAGCCTTCACTCTATCACTTCCATGCCCACCCTACCCCGAGGAAAACCGTAGGGATCCAATGGCTATTGGATTCAATCTGAAAATCACTGACTGAGGGGAAATGTAGAGAAGCAAGAAGGGATAGAGGAAGGGGAGGTAGAATGTGTTCTGCCCACAGTCACCACGGTGGCCTTTGTTATGCATAAATAGATGTGTCACAGGATTGCTTGCTTTTCACTGAACTTTCTGCCCCGCCCCTATTTTAGCGACTCTCCTTGTATAACACTCCTAGCGCGTGGGGAAGTTCTACGATGTTGGGCGTGGTATAAAAGAAGGCCCACAGGCACCCCAGTGTTCATAGCAACAATGTCCACAGTAGCCAAACTGGAATATTACTCAGCCATCAGAAAGGATGAATATCCAACTTTTACATCAACATGGATGGGACTGGAGGAGATTATGGTAAGTGAAATAAGTCAAGCAGAGAAAGTCAATTATCATATGGTTTCACTTATTTGTGTAACATGAGGAATAGCATGGAGGACATTAGGAGAAGGAAGGGAAAAATGAAGGGGGGGAATGAGAGGGGGAGATCAACTATGAGAGACTATGGATTCTGAGAAACAAACTGAGGGTTTTAGAGGGGAGGGGGGTGGGGGGATGGGTTAGCCCGGTGATGGGTATTAAGGAGGGCACATATTGCATGGAGCACTGGATTTTATACGCAAACAATGAATCATGGAACACATCAAAAACTAATGATGTATTGTATCATGACTAACAACACAATAAAATTTTTTTAAAAAGACTCTCATGTTCCAGTTCTTTGCCAACTGTTCTGACCTCATCCACCCTCTGACACCCGATTCCCAAGACACCCTCCCATCCGCGTCTAGTTTCTCAAGCCCACGTTCATGCTGCAGCCCTCAGGCACCTAAGGAAGAGTCCTATATTTCTGAAGGCCAAGTGTCCAGTTTAGGTAGGAAACAGTCTTTTTAATTTTCAAAATCAAACATCCTTGTAACTGTCTGAAGTAATACTTAACAGGCAAGTTTTTTTTTTTTAGATGAAGAAACGGAATTTTATTTTTATTTATTTATTTTATTTTATTTTATTTTGTTATGTTAATCATCATACAGTACATCGTTAGTTTTTGATGTAGTGGTCCATGATTCATTGTTTGCATATAACACCCAGTGCTCCATTCAATATGTGCCCTCTTTAATACCCATCACCAGGCTAACCCATCCCCCTGCAAGTTTTTTTTTTTTTTAAGATTTTATTTATTTGCGAGAGAGAGAATGAGAGACAGAGAGCATGAGAGGGAGGAGGGTCAGAGGGAGAAGCAGACTCCCCGCTGAGCAGGGAGCCTGATGTGGGACTCGATCCCGGGACTCCAGAATCATGACCTGAGCCGAAGGCTGTCGCTTAACCAACTGAGCCACCCAGGCGCCACTCCCTGCAAGTTTTAATGGGAGTAATGAGTGGACTCAGCCAGGGGAGTCTTAATTTCCTTTGGACCTGGTCCCCTTAGAAAATCCTTTCAAACCCTTCTTCAGGAATTAAAAAAAAAAAAAAAGAAAGAAAGAAAGAGTTTTTAAAAACTGCATACAAATTTGAGATAAGTGTGGCCCACTTCCTCCCCACTGTGGGTCCCATAGGTGACTTTGCAAACCAGGCTGGACCCCGGGGCGGGGGGTGCAGGCATTGAGGACAACTTCATCTGCAGCAAGGAGCGCTGCAGTGCCTGGACCAGGGAAATAAGCTGATCAAGCCATGTTGTAGGGCAAAAAGTTGTTTTTGTTTGTTTGTTTGCTTGTTTAGCAATGCTTTGGATGGACTGAAGAAACTAACAATAATGAGTTAAGAATGTGGGCAGAGGCCACCCAAGCGCAGAAGAGAAAGATTTCACGTGGATTTATAAGGACTGGATTAACGAGGAAGCAGTCAACAGGTGCTGTGACCAGATGTCACCTGAAGAACGTCCTTACATTTCGGAGACTTGCACCCCACCCACCCAGCACCCAGGAGCAGCATAAAGCAGAGATACACTTAAAACAGACTTTGAAGTAAAATTATTTCATGATCATCGAAAGTTCCTCTCTACCTATGGGCGTGCCTAGTGTCCAGGATGCTGTGCATCCAGGATCCCTTCCTATGTGTGGCATTGTAGGACCCCCAACTTGTTCTTTAACTGCTCCCTTTCTCTAAAATAAATAAATAAATCTTAAAAAAAAATTGTCAACCCAGAATTCCATACCCAGCAAATCTGTCCTTCAAAAATGAAGGCAAAATAAAGATATTCCCAGATATACAAACTTACAAGAATTACTAAAGGAAACTTTTGAAATGAAACAAAACAAAAGAAAAGAAAAACTTGATTCTTAGATTTAAAAATGCTGGATTTGTTAAAGAATGTGGGTGAACATGTATATGTGTGTCTATACAGAATGTTCTGAAAGTGTTTCTGCAGTTTACTCTCTACTGATCTCAGAAGCAAAAATACTAGAAACATATGAAAAACATACTTTGGAGGCTTAACTATTTCAATTTGTTTTATACTTATTTAGCTTTGTAAATTTTGAATAATCATTAATTTTCTAAGTCCCTCTAGCTGAAGATAGTGGAGATGAACTGAAATAAAACATCTTAAGATGTTTTCAAAATATACATGGCTAAAGAAGCACAAAAGACATTTGAGTTTCTTTTGTACTAGGGTGATACAAGGCAAAAACATATTATGTGGGGAGACTGAAGTTGCAGACAGAGGGCAAAAGTTCCTGGGAATTAACCAAAATTCCAAGGACAACTCCAGATTTTTAAAAGCTATGAAACTGATGGAGTGCAAGTAGAGGTCTCAAGGGAACCAGGTATTATCTGAGTTCCAAGCAGGATGAATAGCAAACTGACAAAGGTCTATCTCTAGCAGGGTGAGAAGGTAGGAGTGTCAGGCCCAGGAGGGTGGAGGGATGATGAAGCTGCAAGGCTGGGTGGATGGGAGGGGCTGTGGTCCATCTACTTGTGTCCCCTACCTGCCCTCAAGAGCCCTTTGTGACCAGACCACAGCTCTGTGATGTGGGCCTGGATTTTGTGTCCACAAGTGCACTCCCAGTGCTCAGTGTAGCAGCAGTGTGATCTGGCACTAATGAATTTCAGAGGAAAGAGATGGAGAATTACCTCTTCCCTCAGAAATGCATTACTGGTGGTTGTCTGAGCTCCAGTCCCACTTCCTGGGCACTTAATATCCTCGCCTTCCTATGTGGACTGGGGCTCTTTTTCCTGTTAGTTTCCTTCTCCCAGCCTGATCCATCCTTACCACCACAGAGGAAACACAGAAACATCAAGAAGGTAAGGAACCCTTGGCCCAGACCCAGCAGAGTATGATTCTGTCTTCTTTTTTTTTTTTAGGTTTCTTTTTTTTTTTTTTCTTCTTAATTAACATATAATATATTATTTGTTTCAGGGGTGCAGGTCTGTGATTCATCAGTCTTACACAATTCACAGCACTCACCATAGCACATATCCTCCCCAGTGTCCATCACCCAGTCACCCCATCCCTCCCACCCCTATCCACTCCAGGAACCCTCAGTTTGTTTCCTGAGATTAAGAGTCTCTTATGGTTTGTCTCCCTCTCTGGTTTAGTTTTGTTTCATTTTTCCCTCCCTTCCCCTATGATCCTCTGTCTTGTTTCTCAAATTCCTCATATCAGTGAGATCATATGATACTTGTCTTCCTCTGATTGACTTATTTCGCTTAGCATAATACCCTCTAGTTCCATCCATGTCATAGTAAATGGCAAGATTTCATTTTTTTGATGGCTGCATAATATTCCATTGTATATATATACCACAACTTCTTTATCTATTCATCTGTTGATGGACATCTAGGCTCTTTCCATAGTTTAGCTATTATGGACATTGCTGCTGTAAACATTGGGGTGCAGGTGCCCCTTCGGATCACTACATTTGTATCTTTGGGGTAAATACCCAGTAGTGCAATTGTGGGGTCATAGCATAGCTCTGTTTTCAACTTTTTGAGGAAACTCCATACTGTTTTCCAGAGTGGCTGCACCAGTTTCTTTTCTATTACTATTTCCACTTTTCTGAATTATTGGAGAGACTCCTGGGATAGGAAAGAATAGAATGTGTATTCTCAGGAAAGAATAGAACACCATCCATCCAGGGATAAGCCAGACTAGGCAGGGGTTAGAGGGGCACAAGGATTTCTACCCAAATATCTCAGGCCACGAGTCCAGGTGTGGTGGAGAGCTCCAGGACAATGTCCCAAACACAGTGACCAGTGGCCGAGGACCAGCAGTTAAGAGCTGCATCTCTAGCAGAGGTCAGGCCCCTAGGCATTGGTTCACCACCCACCTTCCCGGGGCAGGTGTCTCAGGTGAATCGAGGGCAGTACTGAGCCCAGGAGGCCCCGAGCAGCAGCTGGAGTGGGGCTCTGGCCTCGGGAAGTGGGGTCCTACGTGAAGGAGCTCAGATGCGCCCACAGGTCTGGGAATATGTGTGTTTCTTGAGCAGAGGAACAGTGACAAAGAAATTTCTCACATAGAAAATCCTCCTGTACATTCTTCAAAGAAGGAAAACTGAAAACATTTTTATCCATCTTGAAAAGGAAATGAGTAAAACGAAAGAAAACCACAGCCCCCCCCCTTAGTTAAATGTAGGAGGTCCCATTGTTCATGAGCAGTGAACATCTGCTGCTGGGGTTGGGGTCCCAGCCTCCCCGTGTTCTCTCATCTCAGCATCAGGAGGAGCCACAGAGAAGGAACAACAGAAGTAAGAAGAAAAGGCGGACTCTAAAAAGTGAGCATCTGCCACTCAGCCCTGCACACCCCAGTTACACCGACCCCCCTGCTCTGAGGGCCCAGCCCCACCATCTCCAAGACACCAGGGCCTGAGCCCATCCCTCAGGAAACAGAGCCCTGGGAGGGGGAGGGGCTCCTAGGAGCGGGGAGGGGCTCCTGGGGGGGAGGGGCTCCTGGGAGGGAGAGCGGAACCCTGATGCTTCCCAGATTCTGGGCCAGAATGAAGCCCCGAGGGGTTGGAAACAGGTGTCGCCCAGCAGGGGCCCCAGGGCCTGGCCTGGGAGGTGGGACCTCCAGCTTCAACTGTGGACAAGTTGCCCAGCTTTGCTCAGATTTCTCTGTGAGGCGACCCGGTCATTTCTCCCCCAAAAGGTCATGAATGGGGAAGCGATCCCCATCATGAGCCTTGCTATCACTGTGCGGGCACGTGGCCTTGGACACTGATGTTTGGGGCTCCTGAGTCTAATCCCCCAAAGGTCTTCCCTAAAGGGACATTGTACTCAGCCTCCTGTAAGACCCCTGGGCCCCCGCCTTCAGCTGTGACGCAGTCTCCTGTTTCCAGCTTTCAGAGATTGCCTGCAAGAACTGGAAGAGGTTCAGGACCTGTTTTCCCTTCTGCAAAGGTGAAGAACCTTCCCCCTTCTCTCCAGGGTGCTCCTCCCAGAGTCTATGGTGCGAGCCCAGGGCTGCAGGCACCCTGGGGCCGTTCTGGGGGTCTGGGAGGAGCCACGGGGACAGTGTGGCTAAAGCCCTGGGATGAGGGACAGCAGGAGCATTGTGAAGTGGGTGTGGGGGCGCGGAGGGCCGTGGGGCCCACCCTTCTGGCCCCCCTGCTCCTGGCTTCGGCTCACACCTCCTGTCTCCCACAGCCACCTGGCGAGGTTCTCTGACCAGAGGCGCTTTCAGCTCTTACAGCAAGCAGCCCCTGGGCAGGTGCGCAGAGGAGTGCCTGCTGGAGCCCATCAGCCATGCAGGGAGCCTATGGAAGATGCTCCCACCATGGCCCCATCACCTTCCCCCGCTCCTCTGACGGGACGCCCTCTACCTCTGGCCTCCACCCTGTCACTAGGACCAATGACCTCCTCAATTTCTTTTCATTCACACTCCTCCCTGAGTACTTCCTGGCCATCGGAGCCTTTCCTTCCCCTGGATGGCTTTTCACACCAGCCACTTGCTCTTCCCCCTTCCCCACCATGGCTCCCCCCTTCAGAAGCCTGCCCTCCGCCTCTGACAGCCTCCTTGGCCCCGGAGTGGCCAGACTCTCCTCTGACTCTCCCTCAGTGTGACTCAATGGCACCCCCACTGTGCCCCATCCCACAGAGCTCGTCTCCACACACCCCTTGGTTAGCTTCTGTCCCAGTCATCTCGGGCGTGGGCCGCTCAAGCTGTCCCATTTCAGCGCTGTCCTGGTGGCAAGAGGCTGCCAAAACCTGGAGCCTCTCCACCTCCACACGCTTGGAGTCCGATCAAGAGCCTCTGGCCCACCCCTTACCAGAGGCCTTGTTCTGGGGAGACCCCACACACAGACAGGGAGAGACTGGAATCCCCCCTTTCATCAACCCTGACATCCAGAAGCTTCTGGAGATACTAATCGCCAAGAGAACAGAACTGAAGATTTGGAAGGAGAAGGAAAAGAAGGAAGGGTCAGACTGCCACCCGACCTCTTTTGGGAGAATGTTCAAGTTGCCAGGTGACAAGCAGGACACCATGGGTGACCAACACTTCTGGAGCTTGAGAGGCAAACCAAAACAGCTGCTCGGTCCTGAGAAGCCCCCACATCCCAAGACTTCGGGAAACAATTTACAGCAGAAATGCAACCAGCTCTTCTGGGGTCTTCCCTTTCTGCACAGTGAGTCCCTGGTGGCCACTGTCAGCATGACTGATTCCCAACTGGAGTTCCCATCTGTCCAATTCAATGAACTCTCTCATGCCTTGCCACTCCAAATTCAGGCCAACATAGCTCCACATCTTTCACTGACCCAGTCATTATCTGACACTTTGGCCCAGCCCCAACCCTTGACCCTGGACTTGTCCCAGTCCCAGCCCCTGCCTCTGGCTCAGCCCCAGCACCTGCCCCTGCCTCTGGATCAGCCCCAGCTCCTGGATCAGCCCCAGCCCCTGCCTCTGGATGAGCCTCAGCCTCAGCCCCTGCCTCTGGATCAGCCCCAGCCCCAGCCCCTGCCTCGGGCTCAGCCCCAGCACCTGCCTCGGGCTCAGCCCCAGCACCTGCTTCTGGATCAGCCCCAGCACCTGCCTCTGGATCAGCCCCAGCACCTGCTTCTGGATCAGCCCCAGCACCTGCCTCTGGATCAGCCCCAGCACCTGCTTCTGGATCAGCCCCAGCCCCAGCACCTGCCTCGGGCTCAGCCCCAGCACCTGCTTCTGGATCAGCCCCAGCACCTGCCTCTGGATCAGCCCCAGCACCTGCTTCTGGATCAGCCCCAGCACCTGCCTCTGGATCAGCCCCAGCACCTGCTTCTGGATCAGCCCCAGCCCCAGCACCTGCCTCGGGCTCAGCCCCAGCACCTGCTTCTGGATCAGCCCCAGCACCTGCCTCTGGATCAGCCCCAGCACCTGCTTCTGGATCAGTCCCAGCCCCAGCATTTCCCTCAGGCTCAGCCCCAGCACCTGCCTCTGGATCAGCCCCAGCACCTGCCTCTGGATCAACCCCAGCCCCTGTCTCTGGCTCAGCCCCAGCACCTGCCTCTGGATCAGCCCCAGCCCCAGCCCCTGCCTATGGCTCAGCCCCAGCCCCAGGCCCACCTTGCACCTTCTGTCCCAATCAGACCACCTTCTCTTCCACCCGAGATGGGGACCTGTGAGGTATCTTGCCCTGAATCCCAGAAGAAGACACCATCTTTCATCTCAACTGCAATTCAAAACCTGGAATGTCACTTTTTGAAGAAGCAACTAGAAAGGGGCAGGACCTTACCTGCTGTGGTGAAAAGATCTCAGGAAGTCTTTAGTCAAGGTCCTCCCGACCTTCCACAGGATGGCCAGGGCCCCCAGGGCCACGGGTCAGTCTCTGTCCTTCCCGGGGACTTGATCGACACTGAGCTCCGGAAGCAACTGGAGTGGCACCTTTGGAAGAGGTTCGTGAAGCACCAAAGTGGCGTGCCCCACAGGATCCAGCTATCTGTAAAGCTGATACAGCCTCACGGAGAGTTCTGGAAGGTGCCACAGGCAAACAGCCAGCACAGGCCCGCATCTGAGTCTGACTCCACAGACAGAACTTGCCAGGCTACACAGAAGACTGGGTCCAGGTACCCAGCAAGGACCATGCCAGGAAAAAACCTGGACAAGGATTCAAGGTCTACTGCAGGGAGGATCCGGAAAGATCTACACAGGGGCTTGGCGAGCTCTCCAGGGAAGGCTCCAGGAATAAATTCTGAGGAGTCAGACACAGACTTGAAACCTTCAACAAGCAGCGCAGACGAGAAGCACCCAGAGAAGGTCCTAAGAGCCCATTTGGGCAGGAAGTTGGGACAGATCAGAGAAGGTCAGATCCCTGCAGATGTTCATTGTTCCAGACGCACTGCCCACCATGCCTTGGACCTTCTCAGAAAGCCAAGCACTCACAGGAAAACTGGAAAGCCAGCATTTTCCAAGGGTTGGGAACCCTACAGGACCACCTCCCACAATTTTTCCATTCTCAGTCCACACACTCAACGGATGCTAGAAGCACATATTATAAGGTTTCGGGTGAAGCACAGGTGGAGACTACCCCTCAAGGTCCTTAAGCCTATAAATCTCTTTAAGTTGAAAAAGGGCTTCCTCTTTCCCTGGTCCTCCATTCCCTGCTTAGCCACCTGTGTATCTAAGGCCCGCTCCAAAACCAAGTTCTTGGGAAAACCTCCTCAGCCCCATCAAGGAGAGAAGGTGGTAGAAGAGTCTGATCCCACCTTGGGGAGTCCTCTCCCTGCTCCCCAGCCTACATGTGAGGAAATCCAGCAGGCCCTAGAAGGGACCTCACCACGTGATGGCCATGGGCCTTCGGAAGCCCCTCTGGCTGGACAGGAGGCCAGGTCACCTTCTCAGACCCTCACATACAGCTTTGTGGGCAGAATCTGGCACAGTGAACCTGCCTCAGGGACTCTTATGAATAGCAACCTGGAGTCAAGTCCAAGTCCAGCAATGGCCACAAGTGAGCCAAGGAAGGAGAGTGGGGGTTGGGCCTCACAAGACTCCTGCTATAGCATAGAAGTGCTAGAGCTCAACTTAGAGTCCCAGTATTTGAGTGCCAAAGAGTTCAGGGATGCTGGGGAGGTCGAGGAGGCTCCCGCTTGGGGAGTCACCTTGGAACCCGGTGTGTGGGCCAACAACCAAACCATCCATGCAGATCTGAGAAGATCAGGGTCTTCAGAGAAAAGTGACAGCCCCTCGCCACCTACAGAGTTGGTCGCCCAAGACCCAGAAGAGCTATGCCTTGATGCACAGCTTAGAGAGTTTGAGCTCCGGAAGTTCATGGAGTCAGAGAACCAGCCTCAAGACAATGCCGCCAGCGTGCTCCTTCAAGACTGTGAAACTGGTGTCCTCCTTCAAGACTGTGCCACTGACAGCCTTCTTCAAGACTGTCAGTCCGATGTATTCCTTGCCGCAGACATCTTGGCTTCTCAGGGGTCTCTGTATGGCTTCCAGAGTGGGTCCAGTGAAGACACATCAACTTCCCAGGTGCTGAACGGCCTCCCATCAAGAGGACAGAAAATCCAGAGGCAGCCAGAGCCTCTGGGACTGCGGGACCAATCTAAGAGCCCGAGCAAGTCATCTGCCCCCACTGCTGAGAGAGAGTACAGGAGGCCCCGCCCGAGAGAGCCTGGAAAAGAGTTGTCAGCACTAAAGATCCTCCAGATCAGTGAGATGAGCCATACTGTCCAGCACAAGGACGCAGTGGAGTCCTCAGGAAGAAAGGCCCGTCAACTCTTGCTGAAAAAGGAGACGGCTCCTCCAGAAAGCTACTTCAGAAGAAGGATGAGGCACTTTATACAGTGGGTTTTTCCCAGTAAAGGCAAAGGACTGGAAGATTCCCTTCAAAAAGGCAAGTCTTCATCATCCCGGAGTCGGGGACCGGTCACAGGCAGATCAGCTGTGGGGAGTGCAACTGCCGAGGCTCAGGTGCTCATGACGGCTGTGGGACAGATCCTACAGCAGAAAATGGTGCCTCACCATGGAGTTCAGGCCCCGGAGTTCAGCTGGTGCCAAAGGGATCTCCAGGCTTCAGCAGGTCCCAATGTCTGCTACCACAGAGTCCTCTCCTATCAAGAGCAGAGGAGAGTGATGAGAGAGACAACTTCCAAACAGCAAGCCACCACCAAGGGCCACAGCTATGCCAAGACCGAGTGGATCAGAAGCAGGGACAACAGGTGGGCCTTCCCAGCCAGGGTGCCGGGGTGCCCGGGCAGACCCTGCCAGCATGGGTCCATGGTGCCAAGAGCTTCGGGCCGCCCTCCGCACACCCACTGCCCGAGGCACTGCCTCCTTCAAAGATACGTCTCATCTGGCCAGTCAGTGTGTGCTTCTCATGCCTTTCCTGGGAGGACAGCTTTTCTCCAAGAAAAAACGCAAACAGTGCAGAGAAGAACTTTTATTTCTCATGTTAGCACATCCTCTATGAGCTAATGGCTTCTCTGGACCACAATTCTTATTGTTTCCCCAAAATAAATGTTTCTTTCTCATGAGAGATGCTGGCCTCTGTCTGTGCCCTGCTCGGGGGAAGGGAAGGATCAAGGTCTGCTCTCCCCGAGTGCTTGCTTTGGCTTCCAGAAGGCATGGGGCCTTGGAGGGAGGGGGACCGTGTGGTGCACCCCCACCCCCTCCCTCACACGCCTTCGGTTTCCGTGACAAGATGAACAAGACCAAGGCCAGGATCTGGCTCCGCCCATCCTCTCCTGCTTTCTCTCTACCTTGAACTTGTGTGGCTGTAGGGAGGGTCTGCAGAGGCAGAAATCCCCCTCGGGCTCCGGGACATGTGGAAGACAGAGTCCTATGTCAGAGTGGGGCGCGGAGTTTGGAGGCGCAAGGTTGGCCCTCAGTGCAGAGGTGGGAGAAATCCTGCTCCCCATCTCCTGGGGGAGTAGGGCACAGCTACCCCAGGAACCCTTCTCTCCCCGATGAAGCTGGGTTGACATCACCCGGGAGCCCCTCTTAGCTCAGTGTCACCCCCACCCCCGGTTCTCATGCTCTGGAGCAGCAAGGGAGGAGCTCACGGCTCTGAGGGTGTGCAGGTGGGGAGCACAGAGGCCACTGTGGACCAGTCTGCCCTGCCCCAGACGAGTGAAGGGCCCTGCCCACCAGCAACCCCTTCCCCTTCTGGGGGATGGAGCAGGGGTGTGGCTGGGAGGCAGGGGGACACCACCTAGGGTGGGACTCCAGGAAGGAGGCAGAGTGACATGGTGTGCCCATACCTGGTGTGACGACCGAGGACCCGTGGTGTCCCACTGTCACCTACAGGCCCAGTGGAGACAAGTTAGAGGCCCCGTGGCCGCAGGGCCTCCACCCCACTCCAGCTGCCGGGCCCAGGTGGAAAGAAGCCCCCTGAGGCTCCCACACAGAGGGTCAGGCGCCCAGAGGCAGCAAGGCCTTCGGGCAGGGAAGCTTAATTTCTGCACAATTTGATAAGATTGCACGGGATTGGGGGCCTCGGGACAGACTTGTAGTCTGTGACCTTTACTTACTTGTGTGGCCAAGGACAGCTCCCAGGGGACTGGTGGGGACTCCAAGGCCAAGGGACTGGCCCGGGTCATGTAGCAAGTCTTGCCCGGCTCCCAGTCTTGATTACCCCAGAGTCGAAGGGGGAGGAGGTCATCAGATAGAGTTTGTCCCACACCCGGCTGGAACGGACCTGTCCAGAATGAGGGTGCAGGCCAGGAGGGGCCCCCTGCATGCCTGTTCCCAGCCCAACATCATCCTCCGGGGCCCCCACACATCGCTCGCGTGGGGGAGAGTCCTGCTCCAGGAGGGACCCCCGATCCAGATGGCAGCAGGCATGGCCCTGCCCCCATGCCATCAGGACCCCACATGTGGGAGGGGACCCAGGGTGCAGGGCGGAGTGGGCGCAGGCCTGCTCTGCCGCAGCTTCTCTCTGGAGCCAGGTCCTGCCTCTAGGCCCCCAGGGTGTGCCCAGCACTGACACTGCAACCAGGACCCGGGGGAGGCAGGACCAGGACAGAGAGCGCCCTGGGCCCTCGGGAGCTCAGGAGAGGGTGGCCCAAAGCAGGGTGCCTGAGCCTGGCTGCTGCTAGGTCCTCCCAGGGGCACCAGCAGGTGAGTCCTGCAGCTGGGGAACCAGACGTGCACCCCACGCTCCTGTCGGGAGAAGTGCCACGGACGGGATGCTGGTGGAACAGCCAGAATCAGGAAGGAGCAAGTCCCTTTGCCCTTCTCCTGCCAGACGGTGCAAGGCCAGAGAGGGAAAGCCCTACGCCGAGAGACCCCGCGCAGAGACCTCTGACAGACCCACACAGAGACCCCGCGCAGAGAACTCTGACAGACCCACACAGAGACCCCACACAGAGACCTCTGACAGACCCACACAGAGACCCCACACAGAGACCTCTGACAGACCCACACAGAGACCCCGCGCAGAGACCTCTGACAGACCCACACAGAGACCCCACGCAGAGACCTCTGACAAAGATCCACACCAAGAACTCCCACAGAGACCCACACAGAGACCTCCCACAGAGACCTCTCACAGAGACATCCCACAGAGACCCACACCAAGACCCCACACAAGGACCTTTGACAGAGACCCCACGCAGAGACCCCACGCAGAGACCCCATGCAGAGACCTCTGACAGACCCACATAGAGACCCCACACAGAGACCTCTGGCAGAGACCCACACAGAGACCCCATTCAGAGACCTCCCACAGAGACCTACACCAAGACCCCACACAGAGACCCCATACAGAGATCCCACAAAGAGAGCCCACAGCAAGACCCTACACAAAGACCTCCCACAGAGATTCACACCCTGAGACCCACAGAAATACTTAGCCCACAGGTCCACACAGAGAGACCTCACATCCAAGGGCCCCACACTGAGAGAATACCCACAGAGACGAACACTGGGAAATCCCGCACAGAGCCTCCTCTCTGGGAGGTCCCGCACAGAGCCTGACACCTCAGAGTCACTAGGAGCTGAGCACCCACACAGTGACAGGACCTTCATAGTGGACCTGAAACCACTTGGCAAACTGCAGGGCAGGACGAGGCTGCGCCCGCCTGAGAACCCCTGACTCTGGGACGTTGTCAGCGTTTTCCCACATGAGCATTTTCCCGCTCGGGGAAAGGCTCATGAATGTTTATCCTTGCGCTAGGTCCTTGCCCCCGAACAAAAGAATTACAGATTCCACCTGTAGATCTGCAAACTCTCCCCTCCACAGGTTTTCATCAGCTTGTTCGGACCACACTTTAGAGAAACAAAAGCACAAGCAAAATGCCACCAACCTCCAATGAGAGAAAATATCTTATTTGTCGAGTTTTACTAATGTCTAGTCAAAGGATGTCTCTGTCACATTTTTTGGAGACAAGATCTGAATTCAAGATGGCTGACTTCCTTAATTTGGAAACATGGTAAAGGCGTGTGGCAAGTCGGCTGGAGGAATAAAATAAACCAGCAAAAATCTGGACTCTCACTTCCCAGGGGGCTGGGATGTTATTTTGCACATAATAGCTATGTCAGGTTTGTGAGTTTTGTCTTATTTTTAAAGGAAACAGGCTCACAGTTGTGTGAAGATTTTTACAAATGAGTCAGGTATCTAGAAATATTTCTATTTTATCCTCCGGTAAAAATTATACTTTTTAATTTTTTTCCTTAAAATGTGGTAATGCCCTCAAATGAGATTACACATATTTCCAGATGTGACAAAGTCTTTTTTTTTTTAAGATTTTATTTATTTTTTGACAGAGAGAGACACAGCGAGAGAGGGAACACAAGCTGAGGGAGTGGGAGAGGGAGAAGCAGGCTTCCCGCCGAGCAGGGAGCCCGACGCGGGGCTCGATCCCAGGACCCTGGGATCATGACCTGAGCCGAAGGCAGACGCTTAACGACTGAGCCACCCAGGTGCCCCCAGATGTGACAAAGTCTTAATGTTCAGACTAGCTTAAACCGATGTACTACTTGGAAGGATTCCCTTTTTAAATAATTCTTTAAAAATGCACATTTTGCAAGACTGAGGCAATCAGGCTCCATTTTGTATTCATTATAGGGCTAAAAAAGACACATTGTTTCAAATAGTTAGAAAACTTACAAAATATATCATTTAATCCACAAGATATGCACATGAACTAATTACTAGAAGGGACATCTTCATATCTAAATTGAAGAAAGTGTACAGTAATAATCAAAGTGTACATTAATGTACAGAAAAAGTGTACAGTAATCATCAAAATCCTCACATTATAGAACTAACACTTTCCAAAGGGTGCATTTTAATGAGAGTATATGCATATTTCTTGCTACTCATAAGCAACTCGCTTTTCTTGCCTTGTTAAAATCTATTTTAATGACCACTGCCAAGGATGTGTCTGTCCCTGGTTAAGTCTCTCAGATTATTCATCAGGATTACAGGGTCAGTCTTCATTAAGAGAAGCAGAGCTAATATGAAAGCTCTTTGGCCTATTTATTTCAACAAGAAATACCCTTCTATTCTCCCTTACTCCCTTACGTCATTGAATCACAAAATAATGGAATATGGTCGTGGATGTCTTATCGTATTGGATAGTATTTTTTATTTTTTAGTGTAGCTAATGTAGAACGGGTTACTGATCAGAACAAAATGGGGTCAATTAGGAAAATTTTCATCCAGGAAATGCTTTACAAAGAGTAGTATATCCTTTTCTAGTTGACTCAATCGATTTAATGGAGTGATTATTATTCAGTGTTTTGAATTAAAGTCATTCAGCGTAGCCATGAAGTCTGCAAACAGAGAAACGTCCATAATAGTTTATCCATATGACATGTGAATGTGTTTCCCTCACTAAGAATTCATAGTTCAGTAAACTGTGTAAGATTTTGATGAACTAATATGCACTAAAGCAACGTTCCCATCAGTCACGGCATGCACACCTATCATAGGTCGCCTCTGATGATTTGTGGGTACAATTTCTACCACATAAACTTGTACCTTCACCCTAGAAGAAACAGTTAAGAGGGTTCAATCTATTAGAAAAACACTGTGAATATTTCCAGACTTTATGGCTCCCTGTATTTTATTTTTAACAAGATTCACCTCCTGTAAATCTTAGGAACGTTTCACCATTTATAGATCCCAAACAGAAATGGAAATCAAAAACTAAACATAATGGAGGAAATAACAAACACAGATCTCCATTTTGCTGAAAATGAAGTGATTTTTAATCCACCAGGCTCTCTACATGCTATTCAGAATACGTTACAAGCTTGGTTTTGAAAACAATTTATATTTAAAACAAGCCTCACACTGATTTCAATAAATCAGGTATTTGAGAACAAAATGTGGAGGGTGGCAATTACATGATAACTTTTTATTACTCCACAGGGTAAAGATCTTTTCCCAAAAGGGCAAAAAAAAAAGTGTTCAATCTACAGTGTTCACCCTTAAGAGCGTTCCTCTTAATAGGTCACAAAAGTTTCATACACTCCTACTCTATCAGCAGAAACTTCTGGAAGCGTTCCCAAATACACACCCCCCACTTTCCGCGTTGCTCACAGCACGGGGGCACCGCAGGGAACATCCAGATCCAGAGGAGTTCCCAACCTCTGCCGCCTCTCTGAGCGGGGTCAGATACACAGTCATTTCCAGGAACAGGATCGGTGTTCAGAATCGAGTGGGGGGTGGGGTGGGAGGGATGGGGTGACTGGGTGATGGACACTGGGGAGGGTATGTGCTCTGGTAAGCGCTGTGAATTGTGCAAGACTGTTGAATCTCAGATCTGTACCTCTGAAACAAATAATGCAATATATGTTAAAAAAAAAAAAAAGAAGAAGAAGAAGAAGGTAGCGGGAGGGGAAGAATGAAGCGGGGGAAATCGGAGGGGTAGACGAAGCTTGAGAGACGATGGACTCTGAAAAACAGAGGGTTCTAGAGGGGAGGGGAGTGGGAGGATGGGTTAGCCTGGTGGTGGGTATTGAGGAGGGCACATTCTGCATGGAGCACTGGGTGTTATGCACAAACAACGAATCATGGAACACTACATCTAAAACTAATGATGTAATGTATGGGGATTAACATAAGAATAAAAAAATAATAAATAAATAAATAAATAAAAAGGAATGAGATCTTGCCATTTGCAACGACGTGGATGGAACTGGAGGGTATTATGCTGAGCGAAATAAGTCAAACTGAGAAAGACATGTATCATATGACCTCATTGATATGAGGAATTCTTGATCTCAGGAAACAAACTGAGGGTTGCTGGAGTGGGGGGTGGGGTGGGAGGGATGGGGTGACTGGGTGATGGACACTGGGGAGGGTATGTGCTCTGGTAAGCGCTGTGAATTGTGCAAGACTGTTGAATCTCAGATCTGTACCTCTGAAACAAATAATGCAATATATGTTAAGAAAAAAAAAGAAGAAGAAGAAGGTAGCGGGAGGGGAAGAATGAAGCGGGGGACATCGGAGGGGGAGACGAACCATGAGAGACGATGGACTCTGAAAAACAAACAGGGTTCTAGAGGGGAGGGGGGTGGGAGGATGGGTTAGCCTGGTGGTGGGTATTGAGGAGGGCACATTCTGCATGGAGCACTGGGTGTTGTGCACAAACAATGAATCATGGAACACTACATCTAAAACTAATGATGTAATGTAGGGGATTAACATAAGAATAAAAAAATAATAAAAAAATAAATAAAAAGGAATGAGATCTTGCCATTTGCAACGACGTGGATGGAACTGGAGGGTATTATGTTGAGTGAAATAAGTCAAACAGAGAAAGACATGTATCATATGATCTCACTGATATGAGGAATTCTTAATCGCAGGAAACAAACTGAGGGTTGCTGGAGTGGGGGGTGGGGTGGGAGGGATGGGGGGACTGGGTGATAGACATTGGGGAGGATATGTGCTATGGTGAGCGCTGTGCATTGTGCAAGACTGTTGAATCTCAGATCTGTACCTCTGAAACAAATAATGCAATGTATGTTAAGAAAAAAAAAAAGGAAGAAGAAGAAGAAGGTAGCGGGAGGGGAAGAATGAAGCGGGGGACATCGGAGGGGTAGACGAACCATGAGAGACAATGGACAATGAAAAACAAACTGAGGGTTGTTGGAGTGGGGGGTGGGGTGGGAGGGATGGGGTGACTGGGTGATGGACACTGGGGAGGGTATGTGCTCTGGTAAGCACTGTGAATTGTGCAAGGCTATTGAATCTCAGATCTGTACCTCTGAAACAAATAATGCAATATATGTTAAGAAAAAAAAAAAAGAAGAAGAAGAAGGTAGCGGGAGGGGAAGAATGAAGCGGGGGAAATCGGAGGGGTAGACGAACCATGAGAGACGATAGACTCTGAAAAACAAAATGAGGGTTCTCGAGGGGAGGGGGGTGGGAGGATGGGTTGGCCTGGTGGTGGGTATTGAGGAGGGCACATTCTGCATGGAGCACTGGGTGTTGTGCACAAACAATGAATCATGGAACACTTCATCTAAAACTAATGATGTAATGTATGGGGATTAACATAAGAATAAAAAAATAAAAAATAAAATAAAATAAAATAAAATAAATAAAATAAAATAAAATAAAATAAAATAAATAAAATAAAATAAAATAAAATAAATAAAATAAATAAAATAATAAAATAAAAACCGAGCCCCTGGCCACGGGCACTGCTGCTTTTCCCACGCAGAGGCGCGTCTCCGTGACTCGGGCGTCCCGGGGAGCCCGCCCTCGCCCTGCCGCGCGCCCTGCGCTATGGTCACCCGGAGAGCCCACGTCAGGCCCCCGCGCTCTGCACGGCCACCCACCCGGCACCGCGGAGGAAAGTACCCCGCAGACAGCAGCGCATGGGCGCGCCCGGCAGGGAAGCGCCTCTCGGCGCGCGGGGGGGACGCGGCTCTCCGGCTGCGCGCTCTTTGCGCCTCGCCCTCGGCTGCCGGCCGCTCCCGCTCGCGCCTCTGAGTCCGAGACTGGACGCGCCCCCGCCTGCTCCCTGTGCTCCCCCGGTCTCTGCCGTTCACTTCCGACCAGCGCTGCAGCCAGAAGTCCGCCAGGTGGACCTCGTTCGGCTCACGCACCGCCCTGAAAGCCCGGAAGCCAGACCACCATCCGCCCGCCTTCTTACACCTGCCGTGACTTTACGCGCTGGCCCTTCCCACGCCTGTGTGCAGGGCCCGTGAATCGTCCGCAGCGCGCGTACATTTATTCTGCCGTGTGTGTCCCCGGAGTGAGCTCAACTTGCCACCTACCAGTTCTGTGACTTGGGCAAGTCACCCAGCGCCCCCAAACTTCATTTCCTTGACCCGGAAAAGGGGGATCCAAGTT